AATTAGGATCTAATGTAACCATAGCCACAAACTTTTGATTATCCGAGACCGTTGTCAATGTGCCATACTGATTTTGGTTTCAACATAATCGGCTTTATCATAAATCATCCAGCTTTGGCTGCTTTCAATGGAGCGCCCTACTCTTACTCCTTGGCCAAGACTAGAGATCTATCTTCAAAAAAAGAGTAGAGATCAATTCCCACTTAAGGCCAAAAATTACTAAGTTGTCCCTGAATTATATCGTTTGAAACTGATTTTTCTCACAGTTGTAGGGAACCAGCTCCAAACTTCCCAAGTTTAGGGGCAAATAGGTTCCCAGTAGTTGTACCTTCCGCTTCCCCTTCTCCATTACTTAATAATTAAAAAATGATAAAAAAAAACAAAGAAAAAGAAAAACCCTCTTACTGGAAAGCACAGCAGACAAATTAACAAATTAAACCCTAACTACATTCACTCGTAACCAAGTGATATCTTATGAGTTATGCTTCAAACTAGTAAAATTATTTAATTTTTTGTTGTATCATATTTATGTGAGGGCATGCTAGTAGAATGGTATGGAGAGAGATTTATTTTAAAACACACACGAACTTGTCTAAGAAACACTGTTGAGTGTCCAAACGAAAAGAAATTAATAGAGTAGGCTTTCATTATAACTTGGTGGTCCAGAACTTGGTTGAAGTCATGATAATATACTACTGTATAAGGTTGAAAATGGTTAACATTACCCAACAGTCAAACAAGTTGTTTCTCAAAAGCATTTTATTCGAAACTAGTTTGTATATTAGGTAATGACAGCCAATAGTAAAACCTAAATTTCATTAATATTATGACACAATAATATAGGGGAGCCTAGGTGAATTGTTAAGATAAGGCTCAGAGTCATAGTTGCTATGCGTTGATAGACATTTATGATCCAAACACCCTTGACTGATTCGATTAGAGCTTTTCAAAATGCTAAGACAAATACCTAGTGCTTCTTTGGTACTACCACCAACCAAATGAATAGCTAAATCTTCTGCAAAATAAATTAAAATTATAAAAATAAATTAAAATTGATAAACTTCTACCAAAAATAAAAAAAATAAAGAATAGCTAAATCTTGATACTTAATTTTCCTTTTACAATATAGCACGTAATCAAAAAATACATGCTTTTTAAAAAATGAAATGAATTTGTATTCCTCATTCATCCTTTAATTTAGTGAAAAATTCAACATTGAGACTTAATTTCTTAATTATTCTTAATATTTACTTTATTTTTATAATTTGATGAATGAATAACCACTACAGCAAACCAAACTTGACGCACGTGTAGGAACAGAAAAGAAGATGACAAAGGAAAGTGATAGAATCCAAGAATTTCTTAGATCAATCTCTACCGTAAGTATATAAAGCATATTCAACCAAAAGTGTTTTACCAGCTAGAAAGGAAGAAAGAGAAAAGTGCACTTGTGGAACCCAAATTAAATTTTCATCAGCAAGAGAAGAAACAGCTAGGAAAGAATCAACAAAAAGGGTATTCAGGAAACAGAATGGCAATCATAATATCAACGGGGATATTAGCTTATATGCTTAGATTATACACAAAAGTTGTCAAATAATTGTTCCATTCATAAATCCTACTACTCAACATTACATCAGAGCTAAAAGAAGAAAAAAATTAAATTCGCCCTAATTAATCTGGCTGTCATTCATCCAAACCTTCTATTTTTCAGTGTTCAGTGCCACTGGGTAACTCGCAATTTCCAAACTCTGCACAAGTTTAAACAACCCGACTTTAGTTGATCAGATCTACCCTAAAAAGTTTTAAATGAAACACAAATTTCATTTTAAAAATTATCTGCAGAAATCTCATTCACATCATGGTTTATACTCGACTCTTTTTTGTCTCCCAAAATAACTGACTCAAATTTTATCTAAAAATTTAATTTTTACTTTTTTATTTTTTTAAAGTAAATAAATATTTTTTCCTTGTTATTTTTTTATTTTAATTATCTAAGTTATCACCTAAGTACTTTTTTTTCGAATTAAACTGAAAATAAATTATTACCTAAGTATTTTATGTATCTATATTTTTTCTTAAAATACAAATAAAATCATAAATTATCCATGTATTCTTAATATACGAAAACAAAATTTAGAAAAAAAAAAGTCGGTTCTGGGAGAGACGGAGTACATAAGAACCAGGGCCCACAAATTGACCTCCACGTGAAAAACAAAACATCCTCTAAAATCATGGTCAGCACGTGAAAAGTCGTGTTTATTTTTTGACGACGCTCCGGACGAGCGTAGCACTCTAGCTTTCACACTCAGCCAGAAGCGCATGTTAGCAAGCCAACCCAATAGACTGCTAACATGCACCGAACATCTCCATCAAAACCCACGCCAAATTAGCAGAAAAAAAATATGAGAACAGAACAAAGGCAAATATTAATTCGCGCCAAATAATTGCAAAATATTCAGAAAAATTCAAAAAAAGAAAAGGAAAAAGAACTAGGGTTTTATAGACAAACAAACGTACTCGGCGGTTGCGTAACGATGGCGGCCGCCCCACCAAAACTGCAGGTCCAGCTTCCACGCCCATTCTTCTGGTAGTAGCTGTTGAAAGCGAACGACGCGTGGGCTTCCAAGGTATTTGGGTCGTAACACGGCCCACCCGGCTGGATCGCACGGCAGTCTGCGCCTCCCTCACCACACGCGTAGTCCAGAGCCGTCTGTAGCTTCTCCTTTCCGATTTCGCTATTGGCCACGCACCATGTGTTCCCCGTTGTGCTCTTCGAAACACCCCCTCCGCCGTTCACCGGCTTCGTCATCGGTTGACCACCGACCGCCGGCGGACGGTTGTCCCGGTAGTTCTTCAGCCCCTTAACTGTGAAAGGGATGTCGTATACTTTTTGCTCGTTGGGGTAGAAGAGTCCGTAGTTTCTCTCAGATGAAGGACCAAATTTCTCGTTCTCGTTGAAAAGAGCAAACAGATAAACGGTTAAATCTGCATTGGGCCTCAACGGAGTCCCACCGCCGGTGAGGATTTTGCGTACGAGATTGCCATTGTAAGCGGCAGCGTTTTCTACGCTGGCACCCACCTCATTCTCGTCTCCTTTAGAAGGCCAGCCCGTTTCCGTCACTACTAATTTGATATCGTCGTACTTCAAAGCAGACATGGCAGCGAAAACGGCGTCGATCTGGGCGTCGAAGAGGTTGAAGTACCGTAACCCGTTACGCGAATCCACGACGCCTGGGTTCTCCCGGAACAGAGCATAATCCAAGGAGATGACGTCAGTGTTTGACTCATAGGCGAAAAACGGGTACGCATTGACCATGAGGAATGACCCGGTTTGACGGAGGAAATCCAACATGGGTTTGAAAACGGGTTCCACTAGTTCCGACCGGAAGGATCCGGCGGAGGAGGGGTAAGAGTTTTGAAGGGCGCTAAGAGCAATGGGGGAAGAAACCTTTATGGCGGAGTGGAGATTGAACTTGACAAGAGCTTGGTGGATATTTTTCATGGCGGATACGAGGAAACGGGTTGTATTGTGGGGATCCACGAATACTTCATTCCCAACGGCAATGGCTTCGATTTGGGTGGCCGGATGGTAAGCGGCGACGTTGCGCTGGACCCAGGAAGCAGCGAAGGAGGGGTTTTTGGCTGCATTAGAGAGCTGTTCGTTGGGAAGATCGACAGTCACCTTGATTCCAGTTCTAGAAAATGCTTTGAGAACTGCTGGGTCAGTATCAAAAACCTTCACCCGCTCCAAACCCTGAGATTTTAGTAGCTCCGCCACTTTGACTGCCGATGGGAGGTTGTTTGCAACTCTTCCATAGTTTACCCCAATAGAACCCGCATCTGCAAACAAAATAGGAGGAATTAAATCTTTCTTGCATTTTCTTTTTAACTTTTCCCAGAAACCAAACAAAGGAGCAGCTAACCTGCAAAATCGAGGAAGAAAACAAGAAAGATAAAAGAAGAAACCACGAAATGCTCCATTTTCCGGTGTGGTTAAGCGAGAAACAGAGAAACGGAAGGAGTGAAGTGAGAAGAAGTGAAGGTTGTTTTGACAATAAAAAAAAGGCAAAACCATAAGTTAAGCCCTAGACTGTAATTGATGCATATAAGCCCT